CATAAACACAGCGAGGCAGTGAAATGCTAAGACAGTTGTTGCTAACAGATTTGTGGCAGAGACTGTAAATAATCAATTTTACCTGAGCTTGGTCTAGCCATGGCTTGTCTGCCCCCAGGTTTTCTCAAGTGAGCAAATAAAACAGCTCTGCAGGTAAACTGGCGCACAATCATTAGGTTATTGCAACTGGGGAAGAAAGACAAGACCCTGTCACTATTTATAGCTGACTCTATGGCTTTATATCTGATACTCCTTCAACTAGTAAGCCAAAGTTTAACAAATTGAGTTTGTTAAAACAAACATATGAAAGTTTTGTCTCGTGCAGCAGACGTTATTTTGTGCTCCAGTCTAATGGATTTATTGATCAATCCTGAAATGCCTTTGAAACAAAGGTACTGTTAAAGTGACGCTTTGTCTGGGTCAGTCCATAGAAATTATTGACTCTCTTGATTAAAATTGTACTATTTATCATCAAAGACAAACACAGAAATTTGTATTTCATAGCATACATGTGTCAAGTCTTACAAAGCTCATACCCATACTCTTAGCTATCAACACATTTGTTCTGTTCACTGTAATCACTCGATCTACCACACAACCACAGTAACCATATAATTAAAAAAACATTTTCCCTGTGTTATTTGACCATCACGCTAAACAGAGTAGATTACAGAAGGAATATTTAGCAAAAAAGAAAAATGCTGTAAGGCAAAGTGTAAACTCACCACCATCTGTGTACTTTTTCCTCATACCACACTATTTACTCTTAGTGATGTCACTTCAAGAAACATGCGCAGTATTTTTGGTGCAGACGTGCTGTTACCATGGAAGTAATTATGGCCAAATATAAATGATGTTACGTTAACAGGAACATTTTCCTTTATGGACACTATCACTGCATTTTAAGGTAGAATTATCTGTGCTACTAAAAAAAAGTGTGACATTGACATAGGATATGAGCGCTAAGAAAGATATCCGAAAATCCACATATTTAGAAGAAACCATGTATTTAATGTTATTTTACCTATAATAATAAACTAAGAAATTTACTTGTTTTTAGTCACTGGAAACTGTATAAAATACACATGCATTATGAATATGTTTATACTGCCCATGCAAACTAAAAAGTTTGTCGTCTGTGGTGTTATACTGTCTCGTTTTTATTGGTTGAGCATTAGTTGTATCTGAACCATTTTTCACTGCTGTCACTTTTGTTAGCTGAAAGGTCATTGTAGCTTTACTTAAGTCAAAGGTCATATTTATCACAACACAAACATGCACCTCCTGCTTCCTTAACACTGCTCATTATTCACAATACTACTTACTTAGGTTGCGAAACAAATGATACGGTATTGTTTATCCTAACTAACCGATCAAGGTGTGTACTCGAGCACAGACTGATAGCTGACCATGTATGCTAGGTGGCTAAGCTAACAACATAGAAGCTAGCGCTGGTAACCAAGGAAACAACAGCTAGCATAACATTAGCTTGTGAGGCCAGCATAGCACGTCTTTGTCTGTGTTCATCGATGAACTGAGTTTGTCTGTCAGACACACGGTTTCGCAACACTAACTACCTGGCAGACCGGAGCTTGGACAATTAGCTGGGGCTTTAAGGAAGTGGGAAGGCGTCTTTTCCTCTACTTCGGCTCAGCAACTGCACTGGATTGGCTTCGCTGTGAGGACATGAACCTGTCAGGGAACTCAGCGAGGTTAACAGCAACCCATTTAATCCACTTGTCCAGCAGAGGGAGCATTTGTACTACACTTGTTTTTGCATTGAACGGGTGTTCACACACTGGACAAAGATATTCAGCTACACTGCCTAATCATTTAATAAAGTTATATGATTATTTCTAGAGTAGTCTCCGGCCCCTTATTTGCAGTGAGGGAAATCTCTTGTCTGACCAAGACATTTTGTATAATTCCATGCTTCCTATTTTGCAGAGATAAAGCTGACTGTGCCCCAGTGCACAAAGCAAGGTACATAAAGGATGGGTTTAATGTGGTGGAAGTTGACTGGCCCGCACAGAATCTCAGCTTCAACACCATCAAACACCTTTGGGATGACCTGGAACGGCCCCTGGGAACCAGCCTCAGAGTTTCATCTCACAAATGTTTTTCTGGATAAATGGGCAAAAATTCCCACAGACACATTCCAAAATCCTGTAGAAAGCCTTCCAAGAAAAGGGAAAACTGTTATACATGTTACTGGCTAACTCCATATTAATGCATTCATGCACTTACAATGAGATGTGATGAAATCTAAATACAAAGTGTAATGTGTACCAATTTGAACAAATATTTTTGTTTGTTTGTTTGTATTTGGCTTCAAGAGATGTTTTACTGTGGGTAGAAAATGTAACCTCTGGTGCTGTACTTCAGTTTATAATCTCCACATGATCAAACATTTGATTCTGTTCAGACCTCTGGCATCAAGAAGGAATTTGAACCTAGAGAACTGCTGCTCTCTGGATGTTTTTTCTCTTTTAAACTGTTTTGTGTAAACACTAGAGATGTTTATGCAGGAAAATCCCAGCAGACCTGCAGTTTCTGAAACAAACAGACCTGCCTGGTGCCAACAATCATGCTGTGTTCAAAGTCAATTCAATCACATTTCTTCCCTATTCTGAACTGTAACAAGTCATCTTGACCCTGTCTATATGTCTAAATGCATTTAGTTAGTGCCATGTGATTGGCTAAAGAGATATTTGCATTAACAAGCAACTGAACAGGTGAATCTAACAAAGTGGCTGGTGAGTGTGTCCCTCAAAAACTGTGTAGCATGTATAAGTACCACATACTGTAGGCCCTGTCAACTGTTATCCACACATCAGTATGGCCCTAAAAAAGAGTGGACTAAGTTGTACTCAGTTTGTGCTTTAAAAGAACTACATTTAAACACCTTATTGTTGGTATAGTGATTGTGAACTCAGTGAATCTGTTTACAGTCATCTCCACTAGAGGTCACCAATGAATTAGTAGAATTATAAGAATATTAAGCAGAATACCAAAGCAGTGATATACAATAATAGTTAACATTATGAATCCTGTGTGATTATGGATGGATGGATGGAACTGCAGTGTTATAGCAGTCAATTAATATCATTCATAACCAGAGATGGGCAGTAACGCGTTACTGTAATCTGATTACTTTTTTCAAGTAACGAGTAAAGTAAGGGATTACTATTGCAAAATCGGTAATTAGATTACCGTTACTTTCCCGTAGGAACGCTGCGTTACTGCGTTACTAAAACCGTGATTTTTTTGCGAGAATGTCTCACGACAGTGACGTAAGCGAGTGCGCTGTTAGTGACAACAGCTGTGTGCAGATCAACAATGGATCACATATCGATTGTGGGAGAGAGTATGAGCGTGCAGCGTTTAAAGCGTGGAAGTACTGACCTTACTTTGAGTTTAGCGTCCGCTGTGCGTGGGAAGAAAACTTCTTTTTACAACGAAAAAAAACCCCTAAACTTCTGAGCAAGCCCAACGATGTAATGGGAAACTCACAGAGAAACTCGCGGATTCTTCAACTGACCGCGGCACACCTGCACCAGGGTAAACCTCCGCCTCCCCTACTCCTGCTTTACAGGTATTTTATTTTATGTGCTGGAATGTGCAGAAAATAGGTTTAAATGTTAAACTAATTTATTCAAGTCAGAGAATGTTGCATATAATTAAATTTTTGCTTGATGCATAAAGTTAAAAGATTAAAACTGATAAAACAAGTTAAAAAAAGAGACTTTTCCATTTGATTACATTTTGTATGATGGATTATGCAGAAAAAGTAGAATTGGGCTGAAAGATCTGTGCTTTATCACCTCTTCAGGTTGTAAAAATCATGTTTTTAAAAAGTAACTAAGTAACTAAGTAATTGATTACTTTTTGGGGAAGTAATCAGTAATTAGTTACTGATTATTTTCCTTAAGTAACTTGACCAACACTGTTCATAACACAAATAAAAAGAGGCAAAGCAGATTAGTTAAATCCCTTCTGCTGAAGTCTCTCTCCATTGTACTACTACTGTATTTTGTAGAGTTAAAAGACTGGTTTATTGGATAATGATATATTGGTCATATACAGTCCATGCATCCCATAATCCAAGCTGATGTAAAGATTTTATTTATTTTGTTTTTGCTTTTAATGCAAATGCAGCACATTTACTTTTTTTTTAACAAACGTGTTCATGTTTAAAAAAGCCAGCTCTGTAAGTCATTTTCTTTACGTAATGATCTATTTGAAATTTGACTTCTTTAGCCTATAAAACATAGCAGCCATTATTTAATATTCCATTATTTAGAACTGCAAAAATATATTTCTTTTATTTATCAATTGGGTAGCATTTATTTACCAGGACAACTGATCTATGAATCAAGAATTTATCAATTGTAGTTAAATCTGGTTCCCAAACTATATATTAGCATCTTCAAATGTCTTGTTTTGCCCAAACTTGATTCATTTACAGTTTACAAAAAACAAAAAAATATACAAACAGCATTTTTTTAATTAAAGTGCCTTATTAATATCCTTTTTAAAATTTAGATCAATTGTGTTGAATTATTCTTTATGTATTTATTTATAATTATTTATTATTTTCAATTTCTGTATTTTATTAAAAATGGGGTATATGTACATATATTGCAAATTCTATTTGAAAAGCTGAAACCAGGTGGTTTTGTTTTTCTACATCATTGACAATTATTTTTCTATTAAAATTGGTCATTCGAAAAAGCCTGGCTTCGTCAGCATGACAGCAGCCTGTTCAACTTGTCAAACGTGCATAAGGTCTGCTGTATGCTTCTTTCCATCCACCTGCCCAGGGTACACCTTGGACAAGTCACCAGTCATTTTCATATTATATTACTGGGCCAGCACTGCCTTGTAATAAGGCTCTAGCATAAAGAGTGGTTCCATAATTGGTCATAGCAGTATCCAAACATTTCTCAGCACTTTATAATTGATGACACATCAATGAGACACACACGAGGATCGTAACAATGGATTTTTCTATTATGGGAATGTCATTTGCAATCTGTGACCAACGTTTTTGTTGTTGAATTTCTCGTCTTTTATTGTAAGAGTCGATAACTCCAGACAACATGTGACCGTTAAAATTATGTGTTTGAGGACAGTGCAGTCTATTGCTTTTCATTGGCCAAGGTGGAGTCGGAACTTGAGCAGGTGGCGCTCACTTACTGGAACAGTAGCTCATCAAGGATCCAATCTTTCTCTCCCTCTCTGTCTCTCTCTTCCCCCCTCCTCCCCTCCAGCACAGTTGCAATAGCCCCCCCTCCTACACCGCCTGCCCGCGCGGGTGCACGAGTGGCTGCTGCGGCGCCGAATCTCTCGCAGTCGCGCCGGTCGCCAGTGGACGCTGCCCGGCTGGCGGAACATGGCGGCGGCCCCGGAAGAGGAGGTAGACCGCAGACCGATCCGGAGGGTCCGCTCCAAGAGCGACACGCCTTACATCAACGAGGCGAGGATCTCTCTCCACCTGGAGACAGGTAGGGCTGCTCGCCAGAGCCGCGGATCCTCTACGCTTCGTGTCCGGGTGTATTCGTGTCGTCTCCTCCCACGGGGGAGGGATAGTGTAGTGTAGTGAATCTGTTCTCACTGTGAGAGAAACTGCTTCATCGCCCAGTGACAGTTCCCACGCTGCAGCAGCATGACTTTGGGCTTTCATTGTGCAGCCTTCGCGGCACCCACAGTGCTCGGCTTTCACACTGGGTGGCCGGTAACCACACTGTGACTCATGCACCGGGAAATGGGGAGAATTCCCCACCTAAGCATGGGCGATGTACTGTATAGCAGGAGATAACAATTAGCCCTGTAGAAGGATTGATCGCCGCCTCTCCTGCCGGACTCCGCCTCGATTGTCCGCTGCGGTGAGCTGCTGTGCGAACTTCGGCTGCTCGCTTAAAATGCTATTGTTGTTCACGCTTCTGGTGAAGGGTGAAGGAATGGATAGTCCGCCGTGCTGTGCTAAGCGCGGATGCTCAAGCTCAGTTTGTCTGGAGAGAAAACGGGCGAGATAAGTTGTTTCCCTTGTTGCCATGGTCACGATGATAACGCCGCAACGAAAGCTTGATTAGCAGCATGTCGATGCGAGTATACGGGCAGATATGCGCTCCTTCTCCCGACACTTTCTGCCTTGTGCTCCCCCATGAGAGAGGCTGCTTTAATGACACATCAGTGCGGAGCTGTCCACTGCCCCTCGGTGCTGAAATGCCACCAATGCCAAATGCAAGGAATGTGCAGGTCTCCTCTGGTGTTAACCCGCATAACATTTATAATCGGTCGTTTTTTTAAGTATCTCTCTCTATATATATATACAATGGGATATTGCATGCGGATTGCCTGTGGTCGACCCTCCCCCAGAATTTGCCGATGTGACAAATCCCAGTCACATTGTGTGCCTGGTATAGCCTGGTTGACTAGGCTCTAGATTCAACCCTATATTTTCCATTTTGGAGGAAGGAACTGTGGAAAATTACCCTCCTGCCCAGTTGTTGTTCTGCTTTGCCTGAATGATCTTATCAAACATGGAGCTCTTAGTAGGAAGCACAGCTTTCATCCAAAGGTGTACAGTAACATCTGGTTTTTGCCTGCAGCACATGTGAGAAATGTATGCCAAGAAGCCAGACTTGCATAATAAATCTTAATGAGATCAGGAATTACTCAAAAACTCGCCCTGTAATGTGCCCCCTTTTAGCCTGCTTAGACCTTTATGACTCATGCTGTTCAGACCCACCTACTCATAATCTCTCACAGCTGCCCTCTCTCTGCCCTCAACCATCTTCCTCTCCATTTTGTTTCCTATTAAAAGCAGCACCTCCTCTGAGCCAGATTAACTGACTCTCCAACTTTATAAATAACACTATTCTTCTGTTTTAAATATATCCTGGAGCCTTCTATTGGGCCATGGCTTGAATGTGAAGGAGGAGGGGGGCTGCCATGTCTTGCTAACAGTGCTGCTCCTGGCTGTTAGCTGAAAACAGAGTTGGGCAGGCTGCAGCTGCATGAGACTGGCGTGGCATCATCAAGAATCCAGCGGGCACTGCCAGCTATGTCGGGAGAGCACAATTTTTCTTCACCCATTCTGCTGGAAAATTCCATATGCTCTTCCCCCATTACTTTGGTTTAATCTCATTTTCTTTTCCTGTCACCACTGAAACCATCTGCCCACTTACTCATTTGATTCCCCCCCCCCCCAATTTTACTTCATGTTTTTGTGTTTAGGCTGCTGTGTGTTTTGCATAAATCTAACCCACTCATTTTCTTTGATGTGTGCCTCCATGCACGTGTGACAAATATTCAAGCCAACTTCAGAGTACACACACACGTCTGCGTGTGTGTGTGTGTATGTTTGCTTTCACGTGCATGCCTGTCTGGTCCACATGCGTGTGTGGGAGGCTGTGCTATGTGAGTACCGGGATTAGTAAACAAGAGGTTATCACAGTGGCTGCTGCCAGACAGCTTGCTGTTGTTCTCTGTAGCCTGACCCTCTTCAGCCACATCCATTAAACATCCAGGTTGAGATGCTCATCACTGCAAAACCCATTAATGAGGTCCTGTCCCTTGTAGTACCTAAGGGCATTGTTGATATGGTTTTGTTTGAATCAAAGGCAGTTTTGGGAAAGTATTTTGACCACTTTAAACCACAAAACATGTATTCTGAAGTCTCCCTGAACTTTCTACATCAGTAGCTTTAAAGTTAGAAACAAACAGTTATATGTCATATGAGTGGCATTTTTCCACTGACACGGTGTGTTTAGTTTTTCTTTTGCACCCCAAAAACTGCCTGACCTTTTACTGCGTGAAGCTGTTTAAATAGGCTGGTTCTCAAAAGACACCAAGACAGAAGTAGCTTGGCATCAGCACCCGTGTCTATGGGAAAAGAGATGCCCTTTATCTTTACAGAACAGAGGACAATACATTATGAGAGTAAGTTAGGTATGCTATGAATAGCACAAAATGGAGAAGCTGGGTTCAAGGGGCGTTGCAAAGAAGCTTTCAGAAAACACTGGTTATTGGTTTCCACTGTTTCTTGCATCTATTCATACATGCAGGTTGATGGCATTTATAGTGACTTGTTGTGAGTAATCTGATTACTCAGTTACCTCTGTTTTATACATTTAGAGAAAGCATTATCTTCCCTTATTCTGTGCATATTTTCTTAGAATATATGCATTCCATTTTGGTTCATATGTGATAAGATCATTGAACTGATGTATCACTTTAAGGGCTCACGAGTTATAATCTTAACAGCTGTTGTTCCAAACCTTTATATCATTTTTCTGCTCAAACTAAGCTGTGTTTTGTTTCGGTGCTTCCTAACCCTGATCATATTATTTGTGCCCAAGCCTAATCAAACTTCACCACAGCAGGTCATAACACATTCATATGAATATGAATTTTCTGACGCAGGTGCTTGAAAAGGATTTTTACAATCTAATGACAAACGGTGTGATTCTGCAAATACTGAAGCTGTGCTAGACTGGAAAACACTTGGAGGTAGTGACAAATCATCTGTTTAGTTGCTTTCTCGGGTAGGGAAACGAAAGCTGTATCAATCTTTGTGGACATAGGAAATCATGGAACTCCAAACCAATTTGGCAGGCAAACAGCTGTGATGAATTATCGCCTTTGGATGTTGTAATGGCTAATGTGTTGGCAAACATTTGTCTTCTTACACTAGCAACCTAAGCACCGAATGGAGCTGTGTTTGTGTCTGCCTGATGAATTTCAATCAAATATTCTCCTTTCTTCTTCTTACACATCTTAAACCGCTAATTGTTTCAATGTCTTTACCAGCTTTAAAGTCGTAATACTATCCATCCATCCATCCATCCATCGTCATCCGCTTTGTCCGGGGTCGGGTCGCGGGGGCAGCAGCCTAAGCAAAGAGGCCCAGACCTCCCTCTCCCCAGCCACCTCCTCCAGCTTGTCCGGGGGAATACCAAGGCGTTCCCAGGCCAGCCGAGAGATATAATCTCTCCAGCGTGTCCTGGGTCTGCCCCGGGGCCTCCTCCCGGTGGGACATGCCTGGAACACCTCACCCAGGAGGCGCCCATTCGTAATAAATGAGGTAACCATGGACTGATCTGATCAATTTCAAATTTTCGTTTTTCTTGTGGTTTCCGTTGCCTCAGGCCAGTCGAGATTCTGTTCAGCATCACCTTTCTTCAGCAATTGAAATCCAGGTCAACTCAGTGAGAGCTTAGTATTTCTCACAAAGACCAAGACCAGAGCATTACCATACTGTCTTTCAAGCAGAGAGATGGAGTTCTAATACAGATCTGAATGAACGGCTGAGACAGAGAGGGCTTAAATGTGAGGGGGTGCAGGAGCAGGAAGGATCTGACAAGAGGACAGGCTAGGAGGATGAAGCCTTTCTATTATGGCACCATAAAGACTGGCACGGTGAGAAAGAACCAGAGTTGGCTGTTGTCCATTGAATATAGTAAGAACAGTGCACAAATAAACCACCTCCCCTCTATCTGAGTAATACCCTTTTGTTGCTCTTATTCTCTCTGCTTCTGTCTCACACACATACATAAACGCTGCTATCTGCATACATTAAAGAGGCCTTGAGAAGCAGACTGCTGAACCTACCTGGGTAGAATACAAAAGCACAGAGAGGAAGTGGAAGAGCTTTAAATGCAGAGGAGTGCTTCCACCGCCTTGCTGCCTTCCACCCAGTGCACAAAACCTTTCACTCTTCCTCTGCTGGCACGTGGTTCGGTCCATTCACCTCAGACAAGCTGGTTATTGTGCTGGGAGCGAAATCTTGAGCCAAAGAAGGCGACGGACACAGATCTAAGTTATTACCCATGATTCGAGCCCAACATATAGAACTTTTTATTTCGAAATTGATACTCATATCTGTATTTGGTGATTTAAAAAAGTCCAGTACATGAGCCAATATTTTTTTTCTTTCAGACACACAAAACAAACAGATTTCCCTCCCATATACAGTGGGGCAAAAAAGTATTTAGTCAGCCACCGATTGTGCAAGTTCCCCCAC